TTATTGTTAGCTGTAATGATTGCCTTTTTGGCAGAAAGGTAGATTATAATTGCAATAAATCAATACAGAAAATACTAGCATTAATTTGACAAGCATATGGCTTTCACAATTCAAAATATAAAAGACAGCGGAGAACGATACCTCTAGTTTACTCAAGAATTTTGGAGGGGAATGTACCTGTTAAGAAGATGGTGGGCAATGGGTTTGTTGATAACAACTCCTCCTTCATGTGCCAGAATTTCCTCAAGAGCCCTCAGGCAATTTACCACCACGATAGGATCCTGATCCCGAAGCAAACTATATAACTCATTAACTAATGCACCATCTGCAGAAAGCATGTCAGAAAGGAAGTCAGAAATATTTCTCCTTTCATCTGCAATAAAATGCTGCTTTTAACAGGATGTACACAAACATAAACAATTATTATTTAATGAAAAGAATCCGAATATTCCTCACTCTGTTGCTGTTTAAAAGAGCTGGGTCTTCACCTAGGTTTTTGGTGAGGAAGAATGAGACCCCCCACTTCACTGAGTGCCTTCTTTTATCTTTCTTTTATTGATTTTATTGTAGTTTATTTGATTGTTGTAAGGAACCCAGAATTTCAAAAGTTTACAAATAATAAATATAAGACTGCTGAGAAGAATTTCTAGGAAATAATTACGGGGCAAGATAGAAAGAATTGCATCCAGCAGAATGTGTTTTCTGTGAAGGAGAGATCATCACACCCTACACAAAAGTAGAACTGTTACAACATTCATGACTAACTTTCTCATGACTAACCCTAACCCTAGCCCTAACCCTAACTTATTCTAATATGAATTGAGAGGTGGAATTGAAAAGAGAATGGAAAAAAACATGTTTATTTACCCACTTCATAGTCTCCTTGGAGTTTCTGCATCTTTGCACATCCAAGAACAGCTACTCTCCTTACGTAAGAAGCTTTGTCCCGTAGACCATTCAGGATGGGCTGCTGAATATATTCTTGTATGCCAGGCATCCTAGGAACATCAATTAGATTGAATGTATCAATCTACAAATTCTCATAAAACATTCTTATAAGTTGATGCCCTCAATCTTTCTAATAAAATATTATTAAATAGCTGTATTAGATTCCATAGGTCTAATAGCAAAATAGCAGTCTGCATGCTATAATTCAAGGGAAATTCAGACTTGGCTAGCAAAACAGAAAGCTCTTCAAATATGTCCCAGATCTAGGAGGAAAGTGCTGTTTGTAGTGATGTATTATTGATAGTTAGATTCAAGAAAAAAGAACTGAAAGCTCATGATTCAGGTCATGAGTTATTGACCAATAACCCCTGTATTTGAGTGTATTACACGAAATACCCTTTTCTCATACATGATGACTGTGAAGGTTAGAGTAAGCAGTACATTTTCTTACCTCAAACTGCACATGCTGCGCAGGGCCAAACCCCTAACCATAGGGTTGGGGTCTGAACAGTCTTTGCAAAGAGTATTGATAGCTAAAAGCGCTAGATCAGGCTTCAGGGGAGCATATGTACACATATACAAGTACACTAGCTTCTTCTGAACAATGTCTATGGTAGCACTAGCTTTAACCATTTCCATAAAAACACTGGACACATCTACACCTTGGGTCATATGCCTGCAAGAAAAAGATAAGTAAAATGTAGATACAGCAGTGGAGATCTCATATTAATCTACCTAAAAACCCAAAATAATGCATAATTTTGTAATTATAGTCAATGCATAAATCATAACAAGTTGTCACCGAGACTGCGTATATACCTATGTGAATACATTCTAAGTTTTATTTGTTGCAGTAGGTTAACTGCAAACATAGTCAAATTAAGTCCCATACCACAAAACCTAAATTCTTCACATGGAGATTTTCTGCTTACTTTTGACTACATATTACATACTTGGCATACTTTATTTCTCCATGATTCTCCACTTTCCAAAGTGTCAGAAATGATAAATCAAGAAATATGAAATAGATATGTGTCAATTTATATACATGCTTAAGCCTAGCTATCCAACACCAGGACAAATAAGAACATTTCAACAGTTCTCTTGGAAAGCATTTATTAGCTACAGTTTTGATAGAAGAATGAAAGGAGAAGAGAATTCACAATTAAAGTATTGTACATTGATAATACAATGTTTACGTAATATTTTGTATACTTTGAAATATATGGATAACAATTAATAAAATTTGACAAACCAGAAGGAAACTTAAATAGGATTTTCAATTAACCAGAGCATGTTTCAATGCCCATATTTCTTTGACCTGTTTAAGGATAGCAGAAAGATTTTAAGTAACATTTGCAAAAATGAAAATTATATATAAATTTTCATCTACAGATTAAACAACTAAATTATTTTATTTATAATTGGCTAAGATTCACAGCACAAGTGCTTTGCACGCTAATATTTTGCACTCTTGAAAACTAAGTTAACTTACTGATATGTACCAGAATTTTCTCAAAAGGATTGCAAAATGAAATTGAAGAAATGCGATAACAGTACAATATTGTCCATGGTTTTCTTATATACAATTAACAGAAAGATTTAAAGTGGATACAAATACATTACGGTTTTGAACAAAGTAAAACTGAGTTTGAAATAGAATTATGAACCAATGCTGAATATATTATTACTAAAATGTATAAATTTCATACATTGGCATTATTTTTTTTTTAACTTTCCTGACAGTTAATTTTGTTACAATATTATATAAATAACTATCTAAAACAATTTTTGTGTTTATCAATTTAAAAAACTTCCTGCATTTGCGAAGACCAATTATAATTGACAGAATACAAGAAACTGTAGCATAACTGTAGCATCTCAGCTCAGACCTGATCACTCGTTGGATAACATTCCGATAGCGAAGATGGTCAGTTTGCACATGAGGGTTGGACAGGGCTCTCTTCAGCTCCTTCACTGTATCCTCTGAACCAAGGTAGGGCATTGTTGAGATTCTAAACCCTTTGGCAGTATTGATTGTTGAAGAATCTAGGATAGCAGTCACAAAGGGTAGATACAGTCACAGGAAGAAAACTGAGCATATCATTTGTATTCCATTCTGCCTCTTTCAATTTCTTGTCGTATCTTTAATGCTTTTCTTAGAACAGAGATTTTTTATTAATTTGTATCCTGCCTTTGTTATGTTTACAAATAATTCATTGTGGTAAACATATCCAATACTTTCCTCCTCTGATTTTCCCATAAGAACGACCACCTTATGAGGTTGATTGAGCTGAGAGTGTGTGACTGGGCCAAAGTCACCAAGCTGGGTGACTTAGCCATTTCATGACTAAGATGGAACTATGTCATAAAAAAAAACCTCACAACCTACTGCTTCCTAATCTGGTTCCTTAACCATTAGACCAAACTGGCTCTCACTGTGACAGCAACAAGCATGGTATTTTAGCAAACAACAAGCTGACGAGTCTCTGTTCCAAGGAGCTTACAGCAACTAAAATACAGTAAATATAAGAGATGTAATAGAAAGGTAAGAAAACAATAAGAATAGCAGCATGTATCAAATAACCAATTACACTTGATTTCTCAAAGAGTAGCTACATTACACTTTATTGTACTGTAAAAACAAAGGTATAAACAAAACTAAACTAACGAATTACCACTTTTTGACAAATCACTTTTTATCAGATGAATACTCTGAGAAAGAAGTATTAAATCCCTAGGTAGATGATACTTCACAGGTAGTTCTCAACTTACAAACATTTATTGACTGTTCAAAGTTACAACAGCACTGAAAAAGGTGGTTTACAATGGGTTCTTGCACTTAGGACTCTAGCAGCATCCCCACAGTCATGTGAACAATATTTGGGCCCTTGACAACATGTACTGTAAGCTGTTAAATTCTAAGAACACTTCAAGAATAGGTAGGTGGGTAGGAACAAAGGTAGGTAGGAAGAAAGGAAGGGACAGCTAAAAAATTAAACTTATATGCCAAGACAAAGATCACATTGCTTTGGTCCGACACAGAACAAAAACTAAAGCATTACAACTTCTATAATCAGGCAGCTAGAGAATAAATGGAGTGAATGCACTCGAAAGTCCAATTTTGCAATTTAGCTCCGTCTTCCAAGGGAATTAAGTTCTCGGAAATACAGAGCTCTAAGTGGAAGAAAACACGCATGAAAATCTTTTAAAAGCAGATATACAATTTTTCGTTGCTCAAATTAAATGACAACCGGCAATAAAATGCCGGACAATTTATTTATTTGGCAGTCACATAAAAGTTTACATTACCCTCATCGTGAAACATTTCCGGGGCTTTTTAGCTTAATATCCCGGTGCACTAAGGGAGGAGGATCAGAAAGCAGAAGAAACTTTTGATATGCTGCAGGATCCTAATAGTCAATAATATCCTGAAGTATCGTTATATGAATTATTATTAATCTACTGCGGAGTACACGGGAAGGTTGTCCCGAACAGCCGCAGCTTCCTTTTTTTGCCGCCCCCCGTAAAAGAAGACATCCGCTCCATTTTCTTCGCAATGCAAAAGAATCCTGGTTTACTCCCATGACAAACACTACACAGGCTTTGCTGCTACCTTTTGCTTGAGGAAGGAAAGGTTGCCTAGTCACAGTTCCGCAAAAATCCTGGATTTTTCTACTGTTTTCTTATTTACTGTCTCTATAACAGTCTCCTCAGAAAAAAAGAGGCTTTCAAGGATCCTGGAAGTTTTGTCTACTAACCATGGAATTACATAACCACCTCAATTTTTGCACGCCTATTGGCGGAGTAGCTTTAAAATGTATGGACTTCAACTGAGGAATTCTGGGACTTGAAGTCCACACATCTTAAAGCTACCAAGAAACACCGGTCGAGGATTCCAGACGGGAACCGTCACATTATGACTATATTGCGCATGAGCTTCCCGGCAGGTCGATAATGCGCATGCGCTTAGAGTCTTGGTTTGCTTTCTCAAGCCAGCGGCCTGGCCATTTTTTTCCTTCTCCCGAAGAGTGCCGCGCATGCTCGTTTGACCCAATTCTTATGGATGAGCGGTTGTTTCGATTCTTCCATTCTTTGGCGGGAAAATGAAAGTGAAATGTATTTTGAAAAGTGGCAGTACAGAAAGAGCTCTCTAATTCCCCCGATTGGGACGTTCCCCGAGTTTTGCATCTGGGAAAAGGAGAACCATCCATTTCTGCTGCCTTCTCTGTCCTGTGCTACAACTCTACGACAGATCACAGTAAGTTTCCACGCTGCTCTCTGCAAAATGATTTCCGGGAGGGACGGGGGTGGATTGAGCTCCCGAACAAACTTTTCTTTACAATGCTCGCCCAGTCATGAAATAGCAGTTGTAAAGTGCCGGACCGCGGGAGCCGCAAACGTTTTCTGCTCTGGACCGCCTTCTCCTAAATATCCCGAACTGGAATGCTAAAATGTCGTAAGGTTTCGCTTTCACCCGACATTTAGGCCATTTTTCATTAAAAAGAACAACTTGGGGATCTCCTGGATGGTCATCTCAAATACTCCTAATAATTCATAGAAGAAGAATGCTATAGGGAGAAAGCCAGTAGGGTTTAATTTAGATTAAGATGAGCGCTAGGTGATGGTGGGTCCAGTTCCATTTTTGGCACGAAGCCAGCTAGGTGACCTTGGGCCAGTCACCCTCTCTTGCCCTAGGAAGGAGAACAAGGGTAAACCACTTCTGAAAAACCTTGTCAAGAAAACTGCAGAACTATTTCAGACAGTTGTCTGGAGTTAACTCTGACTTGAGGGCATATTCACACGTTGTAGATTTATTACATTGCATTCCGGTAATAATAGTCCTTAAATAGTTGTAGAGTTTACAGTGTGCATCTGGAATAAGTGAGGGAACATCTGGTGTGTATTGCACAGATACAGCCCTTGTGTCAATCTGTGAATGTGTCATGAAACACAGTAATTGAAATCCTAAGTGCTAAATAAGTAAGACAGCATATTGTACTATATTGCTACATTACCTTAAGCTAAATGAAGTTCTTACGGCCAATGGATATCATTTTGAATATCAGTATTCCCACATATCCCCTTTTTTATAAGTGTGTTTGGAATTTTACTGATGCAAGAGTTCATCTTAACTTTTCTGAGTTTCTTTAAATATTCAAAATTATTCATTGTTTTTATAGGAGCTGGAATGATGAATGGGACTCTGATTGCAGGCACACCCATTGCAGTAGATTTTTGGAATATCAGGAAAGCTAGACAGGCTCGCTTGTTCTTTCTTTCTCATATGCACAGTGACCACACTGTGGGGCTTTCCAGCACCTGGAACAAACCTGTTTATTGTTCGCCTGTTACAGGTCAAATTCTAAATCTCAAGCTGAAGGTACTTAAGTACATGTAATTGTTCTAATGTTTCTCTTAGCTTTTGTTCTCTGGTGTTGCTGAAATACACAAACCTTTCTAGCGTTCATGATGCTGGAAAGTGTAGTTCAGCATCATTTGGAATGCTATTCATTTTCTTATCTTTTTGACAAAGTCTCACATTGATTCTACAATGTCTTTGTTTGGATTCTAGGTAGCTAAGCAATGGATCCGTCCTTTGGAAGTGGGAAATAGCCATGTTGTGCCTTTGGATGATATTGGCAGAGAGACCATGACAGTGACCTTGATAGATGCTAACCATTGCCCTGGATCTGTCATGTTCCTTTTTGAAGGGTACTTTGGTGTCATCCTCTACACAGGTATGAACTTCCTTGTTTTTGAGAAAGAGGTGAAGTAAATTTTAGATTACAACTATGACTCTCCTTCCAGTAGAAGAGAATATATGTTGCTGAGTGTTGAACTATGAAGTCCTTGTTGCTCTCAAGCTTGGCTGTTTGCTTGTACTGCAGCTTGCCCCTGCTAGTGTCAGTGGAGCTGTGGTTTTCTTCTTGATAGTTCCAAGGACTCTACATGATTTTCCCTTGTAGTATAAGTTTGTCTGAATCATGACAATCGTGTTCTCAGCTGCTTTTTTGTTTTTTTCTCTTTGATGCTACCTGTAAAAGCAAGCTTTAAAAGTATGGCCTCTGATTTCTCTAACAGCAGAACAATATGGTATAATGTCTGCGGTTCAGGCCTGGATGTAGAAGAAATTTTAAACCCAATTTGTATCAATATACATTCAGTAAACTAGTAAAGTATTTTACCAGTAATTTTGCTGTAAACTAGTAAAGTATTTAACCAATAATTTTGCAAGACTCAATGAAATATTAATTTCACATTGAAAAACGTTTTAGAAAATTTACAGCATTGCTTCCTTCTAGAGTAACTAAGATATTTACTCTTAATTAATTTAGGCTTTTGCTTCCTAGGAACATTTTCCCCTGACAACCCCATTATATCTTTGTCTTACCAGGTGATTTTCGTTACACTCCTAACATGCAGCAAGATCCAGTTCTAAGGAACTCAAAGCTTATCAATGTGCTCTATCTGGATAATACTAACTGTTGTCCTAAAATTATCTTACCATCCCAGGAACAGGCCACTGAGCAAATTAAAAAGTTGATCAGGGACCATCCTGATCATCAAGTGAAGATTGGTAAGATTTAATTTTTCAACCGAATTGAATGGAAAGAAGTTATGGAACTTGTTCTCTGATAGGAGAATCCTTATGTTTAAGTGTGAAAATTGAGCTTATCTATGTGGAAGATGGTTGAACTCCATAAAATATGAATGAATATATATATATAGGCAATGGAAAAACACAGTTGCATAAGGTTGCATGGTGATTCATTAGACACTGGAGGAGAAACCAAGGGAAGGTGTAATGTTTCAGATTTTTGACGTCTTCCACTGCTAAACCTCAATTATTTCAATAGTTAAATACATTCCATTCTGAAGATTGAATTACTGTAGTGTTAGACCACCTGGCTTTTGAAATGCTAACAGGTGTTTGTCATCTTTTAGGTACATATAGCTTGGGAAAGGAGTCACTTTTGGTAAAACTGGCCCAAGAATTTCATACATGGATTGTGGTGAGTCCCCAGAAGATGGAGCTTATGCAGCTGTTGGAGATTGAGGATGTTTTCACTTCTGAAGAAGGAGCTGGATGGATTCATGTTGTGGATTTTTCAGAAATCTGCGAAGAAACAATAACCAAGTGGAATCAGAGTCATCCAACCATAGCTATTCTCCCTACCAGCAGGCCAGTGAAAAGCAGACACCCTAATATGCATGTTGTTCCTTATTCTGACCACTCATCTTTCCAGGAACTATTAGAATTTGTAGCTTGGCTAAAGCCCTGCTCCATTATTCCTGTGGTGAAGAATGAGGCATGTCAAGTATATTTTCAACAATACTTGAGCTCTGAGAACAATTCACTTCTGGAGTCTAAAGTTCCAGAATCAGTTAAACAAGTCAGGCAAAACAAGAAGAAAGAAAAGCCGATAAAACTACTCAGATTATCAGCCTCTCGCTATGCTCCAAGGGGAGTTCGCTTTGACTCTCTTGAAGAATGTACTGAACAGAACGAATGTTACCCTGAAACAAAAATTTCTGAGCTGTGCTGCCCAGAACCCACAAATGGAACTTTGCCTTATTCTAGACAAGAACAGTGTGCTCAGTTTTCACAGTGTGAAAAGAAACAGGAAGAACCATTAAACTCTGAGAATAACAGAGTACTTCCTGTGGTAGAGTCAGAAAACATGTTTTCCACCAAACATCAGCTGAAAGATAATGCTGACAATGAATTTAAAAACTGTCACACAGTTGTAACATCAGCATGTACATGCACTTTCTCCAATGACAGAAAGGATGCAATCTCCACTCCAGAAAGAGTTCGTTCTTCCTGTGAGAACAGTGACTGTCTTGCTCAACCAGTCTTGGACAATGATGTCTTCTCAACAGCATCACAGACTTATCAAATTCACAGAGTGGCCGGTCAACAGGTTTTAAAAGACCCTTTTCAGGAATATGATTTATCTCCATTAAATATCTCAAAGCGAAAGTCCCTAGAAAACTTCGATTTGCAAGTAGAAAACTACTTAAAAAGACGAAGAATATCAATAGGCATAGAGTAATATAAACTTGCATTCTGGACAAGAACTTACAGGAAATAGCAAAATGTCTCATCAAGTGCCAAAAGAGAATAATAATCTGATTTTCAAGTGAGGCATATCTGCGTCCTTCCCCCACCTGCTCCAGTTACTCATTAAAACAGATCTTGATAAGTAATCCATTTTGATAAAAAGGTGAATCTTCAGTATTAACAGCTTGTCTCTATTCACTCTATTCACCCTGGACTTAATGAAGCACAGTGGACCAACACCAGCAGATGACATGGCTCCCCAAATCAACACAGACTGTAGAAACTTCACACTCGACTTCAAGCATCTTGCAGTGTGTGCCTCTCCATTCTTCCTCCAGACTCTGGGTCCTTGGTTTCCAAATGAGATGCAAAAGTTGCTCTCATCAGCAAAGAGGATATTGGACCACTGAGCAACAGACCAGTTCTGTTTTTCTTTAGCCCAGGTAAGACGCTTCTGACATTTGTTGTTCAGGAGCAGCTTGACAAAGGAATGTGACATTTGAAGCCCATGTCCAGGATCCATCTATGTGTGGTAGCTCTTGATGTGATGGCTCTTGACTCCAGCCTGTCCACTCCTTGTGAAAGTCCCCAACACATTTGAATGGCCTTTTCCTGACAATCCTCTCCAGGCTGCGGTCATCCCTGCTGCTTGTGCACCTTTTTCTTCCACTTTTTCCTTCCACATAACTTTCTATTAATGTGCTTTGATACAGCACTTTGGGAACATCCAACTTCTTTTGCAATTACCTTTTGAGGCTTTCCCTCCTTATGGAAGGTGTCAATGATGATTTTCTGCACAACTGTCAGGTCAGCAGTCTTTCCCATGATTGTGATTCCGACTGAATCAGACAAAGACCATTTAAAGGCCCAGGAACCCTTTGCAGGTGTTATGGCTTAATTAGCTGATTAGAGTGGGACACTTTGAGCCTAGAATATTGAACCTTTTCACAATATTCTAATTTTCTGAGATTGTGGATTTGGGGTATTCATGAGCTGTAAGCCATAATTATCTCAATTATGACACATCACTTCTTGAACTATCTTGCTTTGCATGTAATGAGTCTATCTCCTATAATTCATCTTTTAAGTTTCATTACTGAAATAAATGAACTTTTGCACGATATTCTAATTTTTCAAGTTTCACCTGTACAAATGTATTTTAACTCTTTTCTACATTTTATTCATCTATTATTTATACTTTTTAAAAAAAACTATTATCTGTACTTGTCTTCTACCACATTAAATCAAAAAGAAATTGAAAAGGTTTTTCTCCTTTTCATGAATATTCATTAAAGCCACTGCTGAGTTGTGCCAGTTTCCAAAATCTCTAGTGTACTTTCATATATTAAAGTAACAACATGTTAATTTGTACCATCTTATACTATAGCTATAATAACCTTTCTCAGATGGTGCTGCCACCAGAGACAAAATAAGAATCATCAGATTTATTCCTACAGCAGGGATGTCAATCTCAGTTTCATTGAGGGGCACATCAGGGCTGTGTTTGACCTTGGGGGCTGGTGGGGGTGTAACCAGCTCGGCGTCACTTGTGTCACGGATGTCTGTATTGGCCTGAGCACTCTGCCAGTGAAAACAGGCACCCAAGCTCCATTTTCAGCTGTGATGGCCTCCTGCAACTCTGCCAGCACAAATGGAGCTCTTTGCTGCGAAAACGGGGCTCTGTTTTTGCTGGTAGAGGCACCACGGGCCAGTCTCACTGTTTCCAGGGAGACCCCACGGACTGGGTTCGGCCCCTGGGCCTTGAGTTTAACACCCCGTCTTTAGATGTTGTTTTTTTAATCATCTAAAAAAAGTTACATTAACTATGGACTACAATTTGATGAGATAGTAGTTGCTAAATTTTCTTGAGTTACATGCAAATGATTAGTGCATCTGCTTTCAGATGACAAATGTTAGAGAAATAATGCATTGATTGATAATATACAATAATTGCATTATCCTAAATCGATTAGAACTGATCAATGTCACAACTTCAGTCAGTAAAATCGTTCCCAGGTCACAGTACATAGAGATAACTGGTTTTGCACTGAGCACTATTAAATTCTGCTGGTTTTTATATATGAACATGGCAGAGCTACAAGGCTAAAGTAACGGTGGCTGGTTTCTTTTACTGCAACCTGCATTTCTTATTTCTTAGCAAGGTCCATCAGAAAAGTTTGTCTTTTTATTCAGGGAACAGGAGATTCTGCCAGAATGTAACGATGAATTACTGTGTGAACAGTTGTTAGTTTGTTTAATTCATAAGAAACAGAACTTATAAATTTAAATTCAGCCTACCAATTCAGCCCATTTGGTTCACAGAGTCTCCACTGATACTCTTCTTCTATATATTAGCCTTCACAAGTAGGGCTCACAGCTTTACAAAAACAAAAAAGGGACCTTGACTCCTGCATTAGAAATCAATGAATTCTATGAGGATGTAGGGATTTTGAGAAGAAGTGGAATCTCCAAAAGATCCATACTTTGCCATCCTATCTGCTTGGACTGGTGAGAGGGATGGATCTACATTCTGAATCAGTTCTGGTTTTTCCCCATTTGAGTCCATTGCTTGTATATATCATTTCCATTTATTTCAATGTAACAAGTTCTGACTGGGCTGAAAACATTACATTTTTTTGTATGGGTTATGGTGCAAAACAAATTGAAACATGTTCAAAGAAGGATTTCAGTGAATGTTTTGAATGAAATCAAATAGGAGGTGTCTAAGGATTGTAGGCAGATCTTTTATTACGTGTTATTCAAGCCCTACAGCTAGTTGCTGTTTCTGGCTTTTCCTGCTTCAGTTAATTCCCAAGGAAAGATTTCACGGGCAAAGTTTTGCTTCTATATCTAAGACTGCACTCCCAAATTTTGGCAGGAAATTGAACATTTCATCCCAATATTTATAGTGGAAAAAGGAGCCCTCTTGCCTCTTAAACACATTCAATTCTCAAGACATTTGAGGGTCTTTTTTTGGCCCAAATTCAGTTAGAAAATGGTGATCCCAGGACTTTTTTAAATGTGGAAGTAAAGCAATAGCACTTAGACTTATATACTGCTTCACAATGCTTTACAGCCCTTGCTAAGCGGTTTACCCCCAACAATTTGAGTCCTCATTTTACCGACCTCAGAAGGATGGAAGGCTGAGTTAACCTTGAGCTGCTGAGACCTGAACTGCCAAACTGCTGGCAGCCAATGATCAGCAGAAGTAGCCTGCAATATTGCATTCTAACCACTGCACCACCATGGCTCAAAGTATAAGCATAAGATCTCTGGTAACCACTCTCATCCTTGGAATTTTGAAAAAAAGGAAAGAAAATGGGGTATGAAATGGTATATAAGTCTAAGTGCTATTGCTATTTTGGTACTGTTGGACTAGTGCAGTGTTTCTTAACCTTGGATTCAATTTGTGTGGACTTTAGCACCCAGAATTCCCCAGCCAGCTTAAGAAGTACACAAATCTTAAATGTCAGGGCTAAGAAAGACTGGTCAAGAGTGTTGGTTTTTGCGTGAAGTTATTTACTGTTTAAGTATGATTTAACCTTTGGGCAGGCTAATGAGCTGAGGAAATTAAGAGATAATGTGAAAGTGACATCCACAGCAGCAATTTTCAGCCATAGTGTTCCTGTTAGAGTTCTAGCCAAATGGAACACAGCATGAATGTTCACTAACACATGAAAATATTTCCCAGAGAGAGGCCTGCTGGACAAGATGGTTAGATGTGTTAATTATTTCTTTCCTGCCAGGGTTGCTGTGACTGCCGATGAAGCACCTATTTCCTGTCATAGCTGGAAAAATCATTTCTCAGAAATTTGTCACTGCTAAGCTATAAAATAGTTTGTGGTCATAAGCCATCTGGCAAGGTAACAGAGTTTCCAGACTGCATTCTTAAAACAAGAAGACAGAATAATATACAGTATATTTAAAAAAACCACCCTATCATTTGCATAATATCCTGTTTCAGACTAAGAAGGGGGGGGAAGGATCATAAAAAAAAACCAGGTGATAGTCTGGCGCTGCTTGTGACTGCTTGCTTTTCTGGTACATGTAGTTCTTTCCCAGCACACCACACCTAGAATATGATCTGCCTCACGTAATTTGCAATGATATTAAACTAATCACTGCTTTCAAGATGACAACCACACTGCAAGTGAAAGCCTCGGATTTCAGCCCAGGTGGGCCCTGCCTGATTATACCATGAAGAGCAGGATGAGGGAGGGGGTTCAACTCCTTTACTGGCTTACTCAGTTGAGCTATTTCTCAGCAGTTTCAGTAAATTCCTGTTGCCTCTTACAGTCTGTTTGTCAGAGTGGGATAGGTGTTGCAAGAGCTCACTTCGGTTATCTGCTAATTTTGTAATGAAGGAAATGAACATAATGAGTTGAGAGTGAAATTATGAAGTTGAAAACAGTGAAATGCAGCTGTAGAAAGTTAGCACCCACCTCTCTCCTAGAAGAATGAAACATTCTAGGAAATATTAGAAAGGCAGAATATTATATTTCCCTGGATAAGAATAGTAGAAACATGTTTTTAAAGACAAAGCAGCTCCCTGCCCCCAGCAGATATTTGGTACACAAAACACTGGTTCAGCTTATCTGCAAAACAAAAGACTTTCAGGGCCAGGATGATGGGATTATCCTTCAGGGCAAAGCCATTCAGTCACAATAGAAACTGCCCTTCATTGCATCACCCAGCAAGTTTCAACCAAGCCCGGGACACAGACAGCCTACAAAGTTAGTTATGACCCCCGCATACTCTTCTGGGAGTCTGACAACAATAGAATACATTTCTTGCACAGGAACAGGAAGCTCAAGAGCAAGGCCCAAGAGAGGGTATAAATACCTCTCTCTCCTCCATGTGTTTAGCTGTCCAGCATTTAAAACCCATGTGGTCCTGTCCGTCAATAAACTATCTTTCCAATCAGCCTTCATGTTTCCAGTGTCTTTCTCCCCACATATTTCTTCCAACACAGCTTGGGGTAGTGGTGCTGGAAAAGCAGCCCATAAAACTCAGCCAGTGAACTGGGGAAAAGCAGCTGGAAATGGGGTGATTTTTTTAAAGGATACAAACTGTTATCTATTGGATTCAATTTCATCTTGAAGACCAAATAACTGCAGAAACAAGATTTTAAATAATATTGTAAAAAGATCATTACAATTAATTTGGAATTTTTAAAAACAATTTTAAAAGTGTT